AAAAACAGAAAAGTTCATGGCAGAAGGGGGAGAGAACACGTTGGAATGAGCTAGACCAGACCTGATCCAAGCCTGACTCCACGTTTCATATGGGAGGGTGGAGAGATAAACTCCAGTCACTGAACTTCCGTGGAACCACAGGGTGGATGCTGGGGAGATAAGCAGGGGAAGAGAACATGCTGGAGAAGTCTGGCTTAGCCGTACCGAAGCGGCGCACACAGCAAGCTGACTGGTGGGTGCCTGGGAAGCAGGGTGGAGTCTTCCCCAGCTAGGCCCTTCTTCTCCCAAGCCCCCAAACCACAAGGATTTCCCTGCAGTGGGAAGGAAAGACAGGGAAGAGGTGGGGACAGGAAGAGAGGGAGACAGATTTGCTGAGTATGCAGGTGCCCGCAGGCTCAGGAAGGAGTAGGGAGTTTTGAGTGGCTGGACTCAAACTCCTTAAAGGAAGAGGAGTCGCCAAAAAGCAGTGCTTGTGGACAAAGGCTCTGAGATGGAAAGAAAATGAATGTGGATTTTACCACTTTAGTGGCGGAGCAACTGCCAGTGAGGCAGGGTTACTTAACTTCTCTGAGCCTCGACTTCCTTGGCTGGAAAATGGGGATGATAGTACAGGACTGTTGTAAAGGACCAAGTGCGGGCTCCTGAATCTGTACTGGGCTTGAGGACTGGGGCAAACGAGAAGGTGAGGGACAGGGCCAAAGCCTTCCAAAACCAGAGCAAGTTCTCGTCTAGCTCAGAAGGAGAGCAAAAACACATACCTGGAGGACACAGAGCTCATGGATACCTGGACTTTACCCCAAAGTCAGGAAAACAATTTGGATTTCAAAACCAGGTCCCTCTCCTGGGTGTTTTTTTTTTTTTTAAGTGAAACACTTGAGGTATTGATGTTGACATAGGATTCGGTTCTTCCCAAGGGGAAAGCAAATTGAGATCCCAGTGCCCACAAGAGGGTCCTTGGAGGCCCCAAAGGGAGCCGCTGGCTGGCTATGCGCTACAAGGCTCAAGATAAGAGGCAGAGCTGCAAGAAACCAGAAATGCAGGGGGTGGGGCCAGGATCCCTGCGGGGCACCCCTGAGGGCCTGAGAGAAAGGGACAGCAGAAGATTTGCTTTGAAGTTTGAGGAAGCAGCCAGAGAAAAAGTAAAAAAAAAGGCAAATCAGAAGAAGGGAGGAAGCAGTGGAAAATCCTGGGAGGGAGGCAGAGGGAGGAGGTGCTGCACTGATAAGGAAGGGGAGCAGGCACTGAGGGGGGGATTAAAGACGGCTTTGGAATGTCCTGTTCCTAAAAACCACCCATGGCAAGACCAGTTCACACTTCCTCCAAGGCAGTAGGAACCCTGGGCAAGACCATAGCTCCACAGTCAGCCGGCCCTGGCTCCAGTCCCAACCCTGCTGAATGAGCCGGTGAGCCTTGAACAGGGTCCTTCACATTTCTTTAGCTCAGGTTCCTCATCCGTGACAGAAGAAAAGCAACATCTGCCTCAGGGGCTTGTGCTGAGCCTTCCAAGAGAGAGTGCACTTTCCAAGGCCTGGAACAAGGCCAGGTGCTTCAGCAAGCGGGTGCTGGTTTTTGTTTTGTTATTTGTTTTTTTGTTTGTTTGTTTGTTTTGACAGACAGAGTGGACAGTAAGAGAGAGAGAGACAGAGAAAGGTCTTCCTTTGCCGTTGGTTCACCCTCCAATGGCCGCCGCGGCCAGCGCGCTGCGGCCGGCGCACCGTGCTGATCCGATGGCAGGAGCCAGGTGCTTCTCCTGGTCTCCCATGGGGTGCAGGGACCCAAGCACTTGGGACATCCTCCACTGCACTCCCGGGCCACAGCAGAGAGCTGGCCTGGAAGAGGGGCAACCAGGACAGAATCCGGCGCCCCGACCGGGACTAGAACCCCGTGTGCCGACGCCGCTAGGCAGAGGATTAGCCTGTTGAGCCGTGGCGCCGGCCGTTGTTATTTGTTTTTTTTTTTTTTTTAGAGTTATTTTATTTTTTTATTTATTTGAAAGAGTTACAGAGAGAGAGAGAGACCTTCCATCTGCTGGTTCACTCCCCAGATGGCCACAATGGCCGGAGCCGTGCTGATCCGAAGCCAGGAGCCAGGAGCTTCTTCCAGGTCTCCCTTGCAGGTACAGGGGCCCAAGGACTTAGGCCATCTTCTACTGCTTTCCCAGGCCATAGCAGAGAGCTGGATCGGAAGTGAAGCAGCTGGGACTTGAACTGCCTCCCATATGGGATGCTGGCGCTGCAGGCAGGGGCTTTAACCCACTGCGCCATAGCACTGGCCCCAGGTGTTTTTTATTTGTTTACTTATTTATTTATTTGAAAGAGCGAGAGAGAGAGAGAGATCAATCTTCCAAGTGTTGGTTCATTCCCCAAATGTCCACCACAGCCAGGGCTGGGCCAGGTCAAAGCCACGAACCAGGAACTCCATCTGTGTTGCCCACATGGGTGGCAGGGGCTCTGACACTTGGGCCATCCTCCACTGCTTTCCCAGGTGCATTAGCAGCGAGCTGGATCTGAAGTGGAGCAGCCAGAACTCGAACCAGCACTGATATGGGATGTCAACGTCACAGTTGGAAGCTTAACCTGCTGTGCCAAATGCCTGCCCCAGCAAATGGTTATTTTTTATTTATTTATTTATTTTATTTTTTGTCAGGCAGAGAGAGAGAGAGAGAGAGAGAGAGTTATAGACAGTGAGAAAGGTCTTCCTTCTGTTGGTTCACCCCTCAAATGGCTGCTACGGCCAGCGTGCTGTGCTGATCTGAAGCCAGGAGCCAGGTGCTTCCTCCTGGTCTCCCATGCAGGTGCAGGGACCCAAGCACTTGGGCCATCCTCCACTGCCTTTCCGGGCCAC